ACCCAGTTTATCTAGAGGCAAACCTGTCATCTCCTGAAATCTGTGATTTATGATGAATTTCCTATTTCACGTGACCAGGATCTTATCCCAAGTCTCCCAAGGTTATAGTTTAATTGCCTTTACCATGCCTGGTTGGCTCTCAACCCACAATCTGTTTAGTCATCAAGTTCTTCTCTTTTTACCAAAAAACAAACAAACAAAAAAAATGCCTTATGGATTTGTTCCACCCTCCAGGTTTGAAAACTATTAGGTTGATGCAAAAGTAATTGTGGCTTTTGTCATTTTTTTTTCCCCATTTATTTATTTTATTGCATTTTAGGTTTTGGGGTACTTGTGAAGAACATGCGAAATTGTTGCACAGGTACACACGTGGCAGTGTGATTTGCTGCCTTCCTCCCCATCACCTATATCTGGCATTTCTCCCCTTGCTATCTCTCCCCAGCTCCCCACCCTCCACCATCCCTCCCCTATTTCCCCACAACTGACCCCAGTGTGTAGTGCTCCCCTCCCTGTGTCCATGTGTTCTCATTGTTCAGTACCCGCCTATGAGTGAGAACATGCAGTGTTTGATCTTCTGCTCTTCTGTCACTTTGCTGAGAATGATGGTTTCCAGGTTCATCCATGTCCCTACAAAGGACCCAAACTCATCGTTTTTGATAGCTGCATAATATTCCATGGTGTATATGTGCCACATTTTCCCTGTCCAGTCTATCGTCGATGGACATTTGGGTTGGTTCCAGGTCTTTGCTATTGTAAACAGTGCTGCAATGAACATTTGTGTGCACGTGTCCTTATAGTAATTACTTTTGCAACAACCTAATAGTATGCACTATTGAAGGTTCTTCATATTACTTCTTTGTACCCTTTCTGGAATTGCACTCATGCATTTTGTGGCTCTAATATGGTCTTGTGATCTGTTACTGTCTGCCTCCATCACTTAGTGAAAGCAAGGCCATATCTCATTTTGGTCACTGTTTTATCCAAGTAAATACTCCATTGCCTGGCATTTAGAAGACATTCATCAAATGACTGCTGTATGAATGACTGAATGTTCTTACCTCCTCATTCACTAATATCACTCTTGTTCAGTGTTCCAAAAGGGTGCTGGGTGTGCATAAGATTTTAATTGGTAAATGCAGAGAAGCCTCTAGGACAGCAAGTGAACACAGCCTTTGAGATGCTACTTCATCAAGTAGAGACTGCCAGAATCTAAGAATTTCATTGTGTTTTTTACTGTCATATTTATGATAAGTGATGCTAGGTTTCTATTTATGGGACTTTTACAATAAATTAAGCTTTAACAAGGGAAATGAATGTCAAGATAAGTAGGAACTGACTCATGGTATGAGGAAATGGTAGAATTGAGAATATTGTATATGAATCACTGTGGTTTTGGGAAAAGGTGAGCTAGTTTATGCCCCCATAAATAGCGTAATAAATAAATAAATAAATTATAGCTATCCATGTGAATATAAAGACGGTTTTTTTTCTTTACCTGAGATAAGATCATGCAAGGCCCAAAGTTTCTTATGCATTCACCCATCCATCCACCAAATCAGAAGCATTTGTAGAACTCTTACTCTGAGTCAGGCCCTATGCCATATGCCAGTGATAGGAGCATCAACAAAGCAAGGGCTTTTGGAACACGTGTGTGTGTGTGTGTGTGTGTGTGTGTGTGTGTGTGTCTGCGTGTGTCTGCGTGTCTGCCTGCATGCACACACATGCACAGTAAGGCAGGCAAATACAGACATACGAATGATAACAGCCCTATAAACTATCAACGGTGATGGGGTGTGTTGTGAGGGCGCTGTCGTGAGGACACCAGCAGCCCTTTCTGAAGGACTTTCAGAACTCATCTCCACAGTGGCTTTTAAGCCACATGTTTGCCAGGCTCAGAATGAAGGGAATGGTATTCTAGGCAAGGGTTTCTCAACCAGGACACTAGATCTTTTCTTTTTTTTTTTTTTTTTTTTTTTTGAGATGGGTTTTGCTCTTGTTGCCCAAGCTGGAGTGCAATGGCATGATCTCGATTCACTGCCAACCTCCGCCTCCCGGGTTCAAATGATTCTCCTGCCTCAGCCTCCCGAGTAGCTGGGATTACAGGCATGTGCCACCACTCCTGGCTAATTTTTTGTATTTTTAGTAGAAATGGGACTTTCACCATGTTAGCCAGGCTGGTCTCGAACTCATGACCTCAGGTGATCCACCCACCTCGGCCTCCCAAAGTGCTGGGATTACAGGTGTGAGTCACTGCACCCGGCTGACACTATGACATTTTTACATGGATAATTCTTTCTTATGACATAGTCTTGTGCATCATAGGATGTTTAGCAGCATCCTTGGTCTGTACACATTAGATGCCGGTAGCACTCCTTAGTTGTGACAACCAAAAATGCTCACTCTGGGTAACATCCACTGGTCTAGGTAGAGGGCAGTGCCAAATGAAATGACATAGGATCGTGACAGGGCATTTGAAGATAAATGCAAAACAGCTCCAGGCGTCGGGTCAGCGAATGGGAGGGATCACTTTCGTAAAATAGGTGAGTTTCAGAGAGGTAAGGATTGACAGCAAGCAGATGACTTTGGATTTTATTCAGTATAGAGCAGGAAGGGAGGAGAAGTTTTCAAGCAGAATCCCCTTGATTAGCTTTGAGGGTAGAAAGTCCAATTCTTATGGAATCTAAATATCAGTCATTCAGACTCAGATGCCCAGTGACCAAATTAGGCAGTTCATTGGTCTAAAGCAGAGGTTGTCAAGGCTTACTTACTAAATATAAGAACGTTTTACCGATCAGGCATTTTAAAATGGAGAAGATCTTATTTACCAAGTGGATTTTTTTTTTCATTTGAAGAGATATTGTACTTTAGAAATAAGAAATGTCCTTTTGTAACTTAAAATTTCCAGACTGGCTTGCAGCAATAAGAAATTTCAAGTATTAGCTACTAATTCCAATATTGCAGATCAGTGGACAACTGGATATATTACGCTTACATAATTGTAAAGATTTTTGTAGAATAGACATTAGGAAAGAACTATACCTTCATGTAATATCCGTGTGAGTTAACTTCTTAAAAATTAAGCTTCCTTTCTTTCTCCCTTTTTGGGAATGTTCATCTGTTTCTGCAAATAGCACCTAACAAAACTGACATTTCAAAAGTCATAAAAGTTTTTATTTTCATGATTTTCAGCTGGGAGGCTGAACTGAATGCCCTGCAAAATTCTCTCACCAACCATGAAAGTATTAAGCTGAAGTGACATTTTTAATTGGGGAGGAAACCAATTGAAGAAGTATTATAGCCTATGTTAACATTATAGTGAGGTAGTGTGGGTTAGGAAAAATTAAGTGACTCAACCAACACTATTTCTTTGTGTATATGTGTGTTTTTAATTCAAAAATGTGTGACATTTTCTCTTTTGGGAAGACAAAAAATAACTGAAATAAATAACTGCTTGAGATTGGCATTTGGGTGGACAGACAGAGACTTAGAATCTAATGTGGGTGGTTTGGCTTTCCCTCCTGCTCCTTTCTTTTCTTTGCCCCTCCCTCTGACAACTAAATCAAAAGCTACAATTTGTGTCTGTTCTATCTAAGCTCCAGAAATCCCCTAAGAATGGCCATTCATAATGTTAGCTATATTTAGAATCAGGAAAAGCTGCACTTTGCAGTGACAGTTTATTTTTGTATGTAGTGAATGTTGTTGTTCAAGAATGTTAACATTTATGAAAATGATCACTATTTTTGATCTATCTGTGCCAATTTCCACAGAGATTCCAAATGATTTTAGATACTGTTTGCGGTTAGGTTTTCCTAATATAAAACTTTGTCAGCAAATGCCTGACTTCTCAATCTCAGCATTTTCTCTTAGCTATATTACAAGTTAATTTAGCTCTGTTTTAAAACAGTCAGCCTGGAATTTGAAAGTAGTAGATGCCTGTCTAATAATAATCATGTATGTGTAAATGTATCAATATTTATATCCATTATAGGTCAAAGCAGTAGACACAATGAGTGTTATACTGAAATCTTAATTCATTGAATATGCAATTGTTAAATATATGCCATGCTTTAAGACCATGGAAATAAACATAAACCCTTAAAGTTTTTATTTTGTTTAAGAATACTGTATATCGTGCCAGGCATGGTGGCTCACGCCTGTAATCCCAGCACTTTGAGAGGCCAAGGTGGGTGGATCACAAGGTCAAGAGATCGAGATCAACCTGGCCAACATGGTGAAACCCCATCTTTACTAAAATACAAAAATTAGCTGGGCATGGTGGCGCATGCCTGTAGTCCCAGCTGCTCGGGAGGCTGAGGCAGGAGAATTGCTTGAACCCGGGAAGCAGAGGTTGCAGTGAACCAAGATTGCACCACTGCACTCCTGCCTGGTGCCTGGCTACAGAGCAAGACTCTGTCTCAATCAATCAATCAATCAATCAATCAATAAATACCGTATATCTCTTCTATATAGTTTTGCATCATACGTAGTAATGAAATTTAAGAGGAAATGTTGCATCTACCCTGTTACAATAGAATATATGTAAGAATATATGAAAGGAAAGCTTCTATACTTTGTGAATTGTGTATGTGTTCTTCTCCCTCTCTTGAGATTTTTCATTGTCTTTAGTATCCTAAACTGGGTAGAAATTAACATACAAGAAAGTAAATACGAACCAAATGAATGCTTGATCACAATCTCATGAAGTGAAGAAAGGCAAAAGTTGGAACCAGATGGAGGTTTCAGCTTAGCTGTGAATTTCACACATCTGCAGTACATTCCTTTCTGCCAGAGAGGTGAATATACACAGTTAAATCTCTCTAGACAAGGACCAGACCTGTGCTTCATAAGTTAAAGTAAACTCCACTTGGGATATTTTAAGTCATGTTAATCAGAATGAATGATGCTATACTCTTCTTGAATTATAAAGAGCCATTTACAGAAGAACTGTTATGTCTTCTTGAGGAATTAGTTTCATTTAAGTTATCTTTATGTCTTTTTAGAAAGTGCAACAGTATACGTTAATCATTCAAGCCACAGACATGGAAGGCAATCCCACATATGGCCTTTCAAACACAGCCACGGCCATCATCACAGTGACAGATGTCAATGACAATCCTCCAGAGTTTACTGCCATGACGGTGAGTACAGCCTGTCACTCATACAGCTTTGGGCCTGTAGTTTATTACTGAGAAGTTTTGTCATGAATAATAAATGTGTTAAATAGAGGTGGAACTTGCTTCACCTAATAGTAGCATGGCTGCTAACTTGGATGTTTCTGTCATGAGGGCCTTACATAAGGCATCCAAGTAATTTGTTTCTCCATAGTCTCCAAGTCCACTGTTAAAGTTGTTAAAATAAGCTGCCTGGAAAACACGTCCGAAAAAGACTGTGCCGTTATAACAAAATGCTTGTAAATATTTTCAGGTGCATTAAATGCATGACTGTTTTATGCTACTTTGTCAGCATAGCATATAATTATCCATATCTGGGGTAAAATCATTTTGCACAGACCAGTTCTTTCCCCCACCCCACTGTAATCACCCAGAGATTCACAAATGGATGCTGATTTTAATATTAATGAAACTGTAAGGTAATTTGGAAAAAACATGGACTACTGAAAAATGTTACAATATTTTTAAAGTCAGACATAAAAGCTTTGATTACCTGGATTATCAATTTCCTCATTTAGTGTAGACAATAAAGATTTAATGGGGCAGTAAAATTGGGCGGTGTGGTCATCAAGACAAGTTGTCCTTCAGTGGTGCACGCTGCTTCTCTGACTGAGGCTTGCCTTCTCACAGTTTTATGGTGAAGTCCCTGAGAACAGGGTAGACATCATAGTAGCCAATCTGACTGTGACCGATAAGGATCAACCCCATACACCAGCCTGGAATGCAGTGTACAGAATCAGTGGCGGAGACCCTACAGGACGGTTTGCCATCCAGACCGACCCAAACAGCAACGACGGATTAGTCACCGTGGTCAAAGTAAGTGTTCCTCAGGCCACTGATCTCTCCGACTGGGGCTTAGTAAGGACCTATGTATGTCCCCCACCCCACTGTTTTACTATGGAAACTTAGGACCTTTTTCATTCAGCCATATCCAGATGTGGATTTGATATATATTTGGGAGACTATGTCTTACTGTTTAATTTATGCTGAGGCTGAGGCCAACATCTGTACTCTCACATCATCACCGGATATGATTGTTTTTTAATCAATTTGGACAGTTTTTTACCAATCTGAGGATAGGACTGGGCTGAACAACATTAACTGTCACTATACTTGATATGTTAGTGATAATCACATTCTGAAGTTTTGATCACCATTGATAGCTATTAAGAATGATGCCACACACCTGCTATCTTCATGTCTATAGCTATTAGAATATTTGCAGGTAGTGAACAAACCAGAAAAACCATAGGAGTAAAATGGAATGAGTAGGCAAGAAGAAAGCCTGCATTTTAGAAAGGTCTTGCATTTACATGACTGTTTTTAAATGCTGTTTCTGAGACATTAAGAAATTTGTTCTTCTGATCTTATTGTGAAAAAAGAACCAAACAAAACAATTGAATGCTAGAAGGAAAGGGGATGTTCTTCAGGTATAATATGTGCGTAGCTATAATAGAAAAGCCCTTTAAAGTGAACATTCCTTCTTTTTAGCCACCCAGTAAAGAGGTTTACTTCTTTGCCTCCCATCTAAACACTCTTGGTTTGTACCTGAACCCAACCGTTGACCTTACATAGAAAGATGTGCTAAAATGCCAGTTGCCAAGAATTATGTAGATGCGTGAGTAGAATGGAATAGGAGTGGAAACTCTCAGAAGGAATGTAGTGATCAAAAGCACCAACCCGAGTCCGCTGTCTGTGTTAAGAGTTCTAGCTAGCTCTGCTCCTGATAGCTGAGTGATCGGGGCCAGCTATTTAACTGCTATAAATTCCAGGTTTCTCATGCAGAAAGGGGCTGATAACAGTATGTTAGTCATAATGTTGTGAGAGATAAATGAGCTTCATACACATTAAAAGACTTTGAACTATGCATATACCCCTTAGCAAAAATAAATGTTACCTCAGGGGAATGTTTCATGTGGCTAGTAAAATCACTCTAAATATTACAGTCTTACTTTCTGACTTTTTTTTCTGTCTTGTTTAAAATACTAGAGAAAGAAATGTTGAATTGGACATTTTAGAGAGAAAAAATGATTTGTCTGACGATTTTAAAAGGTGGTCTAGGGTAGGAAAACTAGTGCAGTTTCTGCTGCTAATGAGGCTTTCTCATGAGCTTCACCTCTTGATCATTCTTAGTCTACCAATTATGAGCCTAAGAGATCTTAATGCTCTTGTTTTTCCTGTTATTACTGCACAGTAATGCTTATTTGCACCTCCGTTAGCAGGTAATCAAGGGAAATTAAGAGCGAATATCCAGTCTAGTTGCTTGACTACTGGTAACATTTCTAGTTACAGCACGATTCGGTGAACTTTGGAAGTTAATATTTACATAAAGCGTTATTTGCGCATTGCATTTATCTAGAGTGTTGTTCTTAAATTTGGGGGTTTTACAGACCAGTAAAATACCCAGAAATATTCTGTAAGATGGCAGAGTTTTAGTTTGCTAAGAGGAAAAGAAAAATCTCTTCCACCTACCAACAGTACTATTTTTAAAAGCTGTGTTTTTTATTATGTATACATGTTTGTACTGCAAAATGTGTACTTCAAATTATGAAAGAAACTTTTAAATTAAATAAGTTTAGCTTTATTTAATAATTACCTTTTCTGATTTTTGGTTTGTTTTCTTCAATTCATCATGGACTGGTGAAAGCTTTCCAGGATGAGTAGTGATCGTGATCTTTGTACTAATGTTTGAGAGTATACAGTTAGACTATCATTGTTCTCACTTGACTTTAAGCTATTTAGTATTTTAGGTGAACAGTGCTATTCTTAAGAATAATCAAGTTTTTTTAGATGTACCTAAATAAATAAATCTGTGCAGTAATCATGATGTGCATTGTTTTGTGAGTGTAAATATTTTAAGTGCTCAAAATTTATAATTAAGTTAAATTGGGATAAATATTTTGATAAGTGACCATAATAATGCATGTTTTCCAGAAACTTGAGAGGAACCTTATCGTGTAGTGAATGAAAAAATTTATTTTTTGGAAACGGAGTTGGTAGAAGAATAAACTACGTCATGCGGACGTTCTTATTTCCTGCAAAAACTGGCTTCCCTTTTATTTTTCAGCCAATCGACTTTGAAACAAACAGGATGTTTGTCCTTACTGTAGCTGCAGAAAATCAAGTGCCATTAGCCAAGGGAATTCAGCACCCACCTCAGTCAACAGCAACCGTGTCTGTTACAGTTATTGATGTAAATGAAAACCCTTATTTTGCCCCAAATCCTAAGATCATTCGCCAAGAAGAGGGGCTTCATGCCGGTACCATGTTGACAACATTCACTGCTCAGGACCCAGATCGATATATGCAGCAAAATATTAGGTATGAAATGCTGTTTGTAGTGTTTTCGTAGCTTACTTATGTTCTATGCTGTGCATAAAATTTATCTAATTCACTATTTGAGTAAGAAATTTTCACTGGAATCAAAAGTACTTATTAAAAGATAATTTAAAATTATCTGAATTTTCTTCTCAGTAAGTCAATGACTATATTAGATATAAATAGATATCTATATATTAAAATGGATTTATTATTTGAAGGAAAAGCTGTTCTTGCTTCTTTGTATCTGCCATTTTTACTTTAGAACATACTTAAAAATTATTTAGCCTGTGCCTTTATGCCAGACATCACAAAAAGGTTCCACAGGAAGTAAATGGGGGAACTTTCAGAGGCATATAACATTTATCTCTCCTCCTTTGTATCTGCCATTTTTACTTTAGAAAATACTTAAAAATTATTTAGCCTGTACCTTTATGCCAAATATCACAAAAAGGTTCCACAGGGAGTAAATGGGGGAACTTTCAGAGTGTATAACATTTCTCTCTCCGCTATGCATCATGAAGGAAGGAAAGCTCATGCCAAAACCAGGATCTAAGAGCTAATTATTTTCATCCCTTACCTGTGCAGTAGTTACTGGACTTATAAAACCAATCTATAAAGATTTCCAGACTCAGCAAAATCTAATTTATCCTTCCTGATGAGGGAGCGGTTGTTTGGCAGAACATACCCCATTATGACTGTTCTCCAAAGCTGGAGATGATCATTTTTAAAATTAACTTATATTTTATGAAACTTCTTACAGAACTGCTGCTAAAAGATAACTTCATATGTTATCGTTTGTTAAATGTTAAATGTTCTCCATTTCTCTATTCATTGAAATCAAGATAGCTATTAATAGCCAGTTCATAGATGTGTAGATGTACAACTTTTACCTCTTCAAACATAGCATACCTTTTCCAATCCATTTAGTTATCTAATCTCAAAGTTAATCCTCACCCCAAATTTTAAAAAGGAACTTAAGCCGATAAATCTGCCAATTTAGACTCAAGACTGTAGGACTTTCTTTGCAAAGGCGTCGATCTGAGGCTTGGCCCAGTGTGGAAGATGCAAGTGGGAATGGGAGTATGCTGCTCTCTCCAGTGTGACTTCATCGGTCATGAAAAGGTGTTAAAACATTTTAGCAGTGTTCTGTGATACAATATTCAATTGCTATTATACTTTCTCTTAACTCCTATGCATTGGGACTACTGCTTATCCAGAAGTTATATACAGGCTGTTTTATCTGTACCATTGGTATCCGTTGAAGTGAACAAGAACCTAAAATGAGATCTTTCCAATCTGCCTTAGCCCACATCAGGGAGACTATGCTCCTAGTCTTGTCCCTTAGATACCTGTAGAATGTTCCCCACATACCTGACTGAACACAACCTTATGTGCCTCCCAAAGCCACTGTCACAAAAATGCTTTTTCATGTGAAAGTGGAAATTTCCAGCCATCATCTACAGAAATGCAAGTTAATGAGCCAATTGGATATGGAACTAAACCTATAAAATAATGCTTTTTTAAAGTTTTCTTTCAAAAAAATTTAACTTCACTTTTATTTTATAGATACACTAAATTATCTGATCCTGCCAATTGGCTAAAAATAGATCCTGTGAATGGACAAATAACTACAATTGCTATTTTGGACCGAGAATCACCAAATGTGAAAAACAATATATATAATGCTACTTTCCTTGCTTCTGACAATGGTATGTACACTGTTTTTTCTCGTAAGTTGATTAAAAACAGTAGATCCTCATTATGCATGCTTCAGGAATTAAAGTTTTCTACAAAACTCAATTAATTGCCTGGAAAACTGACTTTCACAACTCCGAGGTCCAGCTTTTGTTTATGATTTCTGACAGGTGTTCTGGAACATCCTTCACTGTCATTGCATTGATTGTTCTCGGCATCCATCCACCATTCATGTAGACATACCTTTGTTATCTTATTGTCTTGCAACATGTTGATGCCTTGAGTCCATCTAGGTAGCCCTAGACACTAGCTTTTTGAGTGGATGTTTTTATATGTCTTCTAGTCAGTCTGTTTGCTGCCATTCATATATCCATCTCTATCAGTCTTCCTTTTTATAATTCTCTGCTTCTGTTTGCCATGGGCTAGGAAACTTAGTTTTGTGCATAAATTGAGATAAGTGAGTGGTGAGCTTCAGGGTGTGGGTTTTGGAACATATACGTGGCATCTTCTTTTTTTCCTTTCTGAGTTTCTGGCTGGTTTCTAATTGGTTAAGATTAATAGATAAGGACGTTTTTCAGATATAAAATATAAAGGGGACTTATATAAACTTGGCAAGGGGTTTATACTGTTTTGTTAGCTCTCAGTATGATGTGTGTTTCAGACTTCAAGCTCTGGAATTCTACAGAACCCCCAGGTGCATACTCCAGCTTTCCCACTTTGAATCTGTGGGATTGGCATGAGATTTTAAATATATCTGTTTCCATTTTTGTTGTTGTTAAATAGAGATAGGTGTCAGTGCCTAATTCACAGTGTTTTAACTGAGATACAATGACTTTTATATATATGTGAAACATTTGAAACAGTGGCTGACACAAACTAACCACTCAAATAAGTATTCCTATTGTGTATTAATAGTTTCAAAACTGAACCACATATTAATGATTTTAAATATTTTAACATACTTTCATGTTTATGAATATGAATGTTGGCATTTAATAAAAAAGTAGCAGGCTTCAATTTGGTGGTTGAATTTGATGTTTGCAATTTTCAAATGCAAAATATTTTGCATTATAAAAATATTATATATCAGTACTTTTGATAATAATATCAATGAACTTTTATAAATACTTATACTAAAATTTAATGAGATTACTAGCTGTAGAAAATCTGTGTAGTGACGGCCAAAGAAATATTTCATCTCCTTTCCAATATGGGACCACCTGTTTAAATGTTTAGTGTTGGAAATTTGTAGGAATAGCTTTTGCCATTGTACATCAAAGCATAGCATTAGTACCTGTTTTATGCTTTTTTTTTTGCCTTAAATAAACAGTTTTCTTCTGCAGTAGAACTGAAAGTAATATATCTTGAACCATTATGTTGAGATCTAAAGAGCCATAAAATTATATGTATATATGTTGGTTGTGAGTTACAACTAGATTTCTTTATTCACCAAGGAGGATTGTTTTCTAATTGAAAGGGCTTTTGATAAAAGAGAGAAGTGACCTGTTAAATGTATGTAGCTGTGATGCTTTGAAAGTGTACTTTACTTTAAGTGACAAGGCTAGATTTGGAGCCCCAACTATGTTCCTTAATGATTAGGCAAGCTCTTATTCGCCATATGCCTTAGTTTCATTATTGATAAATTGTTTCACTACTTATGTATTCTATATAGTTGTTATAAAAGTATAATAAATATTAAATGTGATAATAAATTTAAAAGTCCCTCAAACTGTTGAATATCATACTGGTGTTATAACAGCCACTATACGCCTCCAGTTCAACTCTCCCTGCTCTTAGAACCATCATATTCCTCATAGAAATTGGTAGAGATTTCTCCTTATTCCCTCCCCAGGATTGTGTATGTATGTGTACCTTCGTAGTTGCATGACCTTTGACAGGTCGCTTAAATCTCTGGTCTTCATTGTACAGCATTCTTTATAAAATATTCATAAATATTTTGTGTGTGTGTGTGTGTGTGTGTGTGTGTGAATATTTACAATATAGCAGAAGCAAATCACCAGACTAAATTATCACATGAAGTGGTGGAGACAGCATTTTATTATAGTGGAACGAGAATGGGTTTGAGGTCAGGCCGACTCATCTTAAGCAACAACTCCACCACTTAAAAAGTGTGTGGCCATGAGCAGTTTACAGACTTAGCTTCATCTGTTTAAACCTGTGTCATAGGATTACAATGACAGAATGTACACAGAGCTGCCTAATATGATCTCAAGCAAGTAGGTGGTTAGTAAATACCATTTCTCTTCTGCATGATGTTCCTGAGTTGAGGTCTGTGGTTCTGTATCACTTGTCTTTAGACTGGTTCACTAAGTCATAGCTGTGTTGGAGTGTTAAAAAGCATTATTATGTTCTTTCATGCACATGTCTTGGTTCTCCATAAAAAGAGTAGGGTTCACAGGATTATGAGCCCTGTGTTTGCATCTCCAACATTCCTCACAGTGCCTGGAGCAGCATGGTCTGTGCAAGCCCTGAATAATGAACAGAAGGGGCAGGGAAGGTGTGGTATTCCATAGCAGGGGCATTCTTCATCACCTTGCTCAGCATCTGCAGAGCAGCAATGGCAGCTCAGGGTCATTCTAGGAGGGAAGCAAGAAGTGGCTTTGTTTTGGAAATGGTCGGCCCAGATGCCTTAGCAGCTATATTTTTCCAAGGTTACACAGTTATAAGAGCCAGAATTTCACCGTAATTGAGGTTCATTGGAGAGAACTGTTCAGCATCGGTTTGTGATTTTTCTCTCTTTTAAGGAATTCCTCCTATGAGTGGAACAGGAACGCTGCAGATCTATTTACTTGATATTAATGACAATGCCCCTCAAGTGTTACCTCAAGAGGCAGAGACTTGCGAAACTCCAGACCCCAATTCAATTAACATTACAGCACTTGATTATGACATTGATCCAAATGCTGGACCATTCGCTTTTGATCTTCCTTTATCTCCAGTGAATATTAAGAAAAATTGGACCATCACTCGGCTTAATGGTAAGAACAGGTTAATTATTTGAATATATGTGCAGTTGAGAGATTTTGAAGCCTGACATGAAAAGTTAATTTTTATGTGCTCTGTAATCTTCTCATTATACATATTTTAAAAGCTACTTGAAGTTTAAGTAAGATATTAAAGGCCTTTAAAGCCAAAAAAAGTATTTGTAATGCGTCATAGTTGTAATCCACTTTATGTGTACTATGAGGTAGTAAATACATTCTGAACAATGCTGTGTGTTTTTTATAGCTTTAAGTATTCCCTGTCAAACTATCTTTTTCCTTTTTCGTATAGGTGATTTTGCTCAGCTTAATTTAAAGATAAAGTTTCTTGAAGCTGGTATCTATGAAGTTCCCATCATAATCACAGATTCGGGTAATCCTCCCAAATCAAATATTTCCATCTTGCGCGTGAAGGTTTGCCAGTGTGACTCCAACGGGGACTGCACAGATGTGGACAGGATTGTGGGTGCAGGGCTTGGCACCGGTGCCATCATTGCCATCCTGCTCTGCATCATCATCCTGCTTAGTGAGTACTTTTATTGTCTTTTAGATTTCAGTTCTCTTGGCTTCTAGGATGTTCGGCAAACTTGTTGCTGTTGCCTGGCAAAGTAGCCTCACAACCCTTTGACCTCTCAGCATTTCCTTGCCAATCATATATGGTCGGCCAAGTCCACTTTCGAATGAAAATATCCCTGAGCATTGTTTCAAGCACTTGAGGTTTGCAACAAGCCTCCTCAGCATGCCTCTTCCGTGCCGTGCCCTCTTACTCTTTCTGATGCTGATTGCTTAGGAAACTGTAGTAAACTCTTTTCATAGAAAAACATTACACAATCCCAAGTTTGAGCACTATTCTTATGATTTGAGTATGAAATTATGGCACGTAGTTGATGATTTAGGAAAATAAGTATATTGCTTTCCTTTACCTTCCTTCATGTAAAGCACAGTCAGCAGTGCTCCAGTCATGTGAAGATCAAGGTATTTGTTTCTGAAGGGCTGTGTAAAAGAGTGAGAGATTGCACTTCATATACAGCAGGTTTGATAATACAAATGATTACACAGCTCAATAAATTGTCTTTAGAGTAAGTGTAGATTAAGGAATTCCTTCTTTTTAAGGTACTTTGCAATCTTTGGTTCAGTGGAATGCAAGAAATTAACCACTGGAAAGTACTTTAGGAACCACTTCTGAGCGTGCAGGTTAAAAGAATAAATTGCCTGGGCCCTGTTTTATTGTGAAATAGCAGCAGGACTTAGTTTATTGTGCGATCATGCTATGCACCAATCACTTTCTTGAAAATGTTGGCTATTTCTTTTATGTTTTCTCCATTTACAAGTGTTCCGGTAATTTAGAATTCTGTCACTTTATTCTAAGCAATTACTATAGAAGTCTGAGCATTTTTTACTTCCTGTATGGAGACTACTTTGGCTATAATTTGTAACCTGCATGCTATACTAATAATCCACTTGCTAGATTTAGCCCTGGAACAATAGCAAATGAGATCATGTTATCTGGCTCTAAAAGGAGGATATTTACTTTTATGGCCAATAATAAAAATGTACTCCAACAGGAGTCATTAAATCTTTTGCTTCAGGATGTAAACTGATACTCCCAGATTTTAGACAGAATTTGTTCCTAGATGTGCACTTAGGGATATGTTTCCATTTCAGCTGAAATGTGGCATAGATGCCAGTCTTATCCAGAAAGACTCAGGTATGATGGATTATGGCAATGAAGAAGTAACTGGCATTTTGAAGGAAACTGAATTGGTGCGGATTTTAACATCAACTCCCTGGAAAATGTATGGTTCTAGACCTGGCACAAAGTGTAAAACAGGAAAGTCAAATGTTATTTCAGTGTTCAAATGAATCCCCTCGCCTTCTTAGTTGACACACGCACCAGCCTTTGGGAATCAAAAACCTCAAGATCCAGTTCCTGACTTAGTTCCGGTTTACTACCAGGTCATCTGGGCAAGCTTTGTTTTCCTGGAGAAGTGCTGTTTTCTGTGAAGTTGGGAGTGTAATAATGACTGACCAACCTAAATAACACAGCAAGTAACAACTTGTTGCTGTTTGTGTCTCTGGAATGTACAAACTACTATTAAGGGCAACTATCCTCTAGCAAGCCAAAAGGAAAATAGAAAAAGTAACTGTCCCTGTATGTGGATGGTGAAACTGAGAACAAGGATGATCTACTTCTCCAGTGAGTTTGCAGGACACTAGGGATGGGAGCCCAGGCCTTCGCACTCTAAACCCGGTGCTTTGGCCTGCTTTGTCTTGTCTCTCCTAATGTGAGGCCAGAAATTGATTGTAGAGTGAAAGATGCATTACAAGCATTTAGCCCATCTAAGTATAAACTATTATCACTGAATACTGTGGCTAAATAGGTCAGGCTTTAAGAATGACAATATTATGTATTTTTACTATTTTCCTCCCTAGTCCTTGTGCTGATGTTTGTGGTATGGATGAAACGCCGGGACAAAGAACGCCAGGCCAAACAGCTCTTAATTGATCCAGAAGATGATGTAAGAGATAATATTTTAAAATACGATGAAGAAGGTGGAGGAGAAGAAGACCAGGTGAGCAGTGCTTTAAATCTTTAAAAGAAAATTTTATGGTCATATAAATTTGACAGTGAGTAGTGTTAATACTTCAGTAAGAAAATGATATCAGGTTTCCCTCCTGTTATCAGTCATTTGGCGAATTGCTTCCTATGTGTGTTGAATATTTCTCAAATTTTTTTCAAAGTACCAAATGTCATTGTGTGTTGATTTTGTAAAAAAAAAAATAAATTACCATTATTTCAAAGGATTTAAACCCAATTCTAATTATATCTGTGTAATGATAAATCTGTTTTTCTTTATAGTTTCTCTTCATTAGAGATCCTAAATATATTAAAAGTGTCTTCTACTTTGGGATTTAGATACTTATATGTATGGTACAAAAACCACTAAGACTATTCCACAAGTATTTACTAATGAAATTCAATATTTTAGGCACTATTTTAATCCTGAAGATACCTCCACGGGCAGAGTTAACAAATACCTACCCTTAGAGTCTTACATTCTTGTGAAATATTTGAAGTTAGAGTCAACATCTAGTTCATCTTTATATTTATAGTGTCTGTCATGGTTTCTGGCTCCAAGTGATTGTTCAGTAGATGTCAGAATCCCCTTCTGGCCATTAAATAATGTGAGCTTATATCACTATGGGCATATGGTTCTGCGTATCTCTTCAAGGATGAGAATGACCATAAATGAGAAACAAAGATCTCTATCTGCTCTGAAGCAACATCTTCAGTGCTATCATAGCAAACATGCATAAGCTGTGTACCACACGGCAGGCATTCTGTTAAGTACATTAGGTGCCGCTATCTCTTAAATCTTTGAAGCTTGTGATATTAGTACTGTGAACATCTCTACTTTTATGGAATAAAACCAAGCTTAAGGATGGTTAGATTCTACAAAATCATGCACCTAGAAAGTGATAGATGCAGAGTTTATATGCAGGTCTCTGAATTCACAGCCTAAAGTCACTATTGTGATATAGTTTCTCTTGAAATTATATGGGTATATTAATGTAATCCTTGAGAAATCACTGTGACAGGTAATTTTTAAAATACATTTGACAGTCATCTAATTTCTACGGCTAATGCAAATGTGGGGGATAATAGTCTGAAGGAGAACCCAGGATTCTTTGTTTTTTTGCATCAGTATCAGTAAGTTAAAATGTACTATCTTAAGTATATATGCAGACATTATTGGTAAGGCTGTTATTTGAATAAAAGCAAATTTTCATGAACATACTTTTCCATTGCTTCACTCCTTTGAGAAAATGATACATCACTTTTCATTTTACAAAACACATTTACATTCATTATTGTTTAATCTTTGTGCCAGCCCCTTAAGAGTTTTCCATTTTCCATTTGAAGAAGGTTGCATGATTTGCTTTCAGAGTTTGCAACCCACAGTGCGAGGACTCAAGGCCTCATATTCTGATTCCAGGTTCCATGCTTGGTCTACAATACCCCAACTCTCTCACTTAGAAGAGATGCAAATTTAAAGTATGTTGAAAACTTGACTCATGTGTAAAGCTGTTTTGAATACTGACTAATTAAAGTGGCTCTATAAATATACCTTAGGGTGTTTTGCTTATAAATGTCTTTGAATATTAAAATTCATGTTTGCCTTAATCCTTTAATTAATCTATCCTTTCACTTTCCTAGGCTATTTTCAAGATCAACAAACATATATTGATCACATTCTCTCATAAATCATCTACTTCTAGTATTTTCTTTTTCGTGTAATTGTGCATACTTTTCAAAGGCATAAACTTAAAACCCAACTCAGTATAGCCTCAATAAAATAGTAATCACTGTAAGACCACCAGTAACAACTGCATGCTGTATGAAATTGGAGGCTCAGAGGCAAGAACCAAGGAAATCCTCATATAGGGACTGGACCATTAAGTATTTAATAGCACTTGATTTGAATCTTTGTCTCCTTTCCCCACCAGTCCCTTCAGTAAATTGTTTACTACAACTTTATTGTTATAGTTATGTTAGGAAAGACTTATTTTATTTACTGATATTATCCACTTAAATTGATGCTTGAGATTAGGTGGTTAAACTCACCTATTGTAAGATTTGTTAAAATAATCATCATAAATCTTCAACTTCCTCTTTACCTAATCTTTGAAGTTTGTGGGATTTTTTTTTTTTTTTTTTTGCCCCTAGCCAAACTCTTGGACATGAATGTGTTGCTTCATATCTACTTCCCCAGGAATCTAAAGATTTTTCTGGAATTTTCTCTGTATTACACTCTGGGGCTAATTTTTTTTTTTTTTTTTTTTTTTTTTTTGAGACGGAGTTTCGCTCTTGTTACCCAGGCTGGAGTGCAATGGCACGATTTCGGCTCACCGCAACCTCCGCCTCCTGGGTTCAGGCAATTCTCCTGCCTCAGCCTCCTGAGTAGCTGGGATTACAGGCATGCACCACCATGCCCAGCTAATTTTTTGTAGTTTTAGTAGAGGCGGGGTGTCACCATGTTGACCAGGATGGTCTCGATCTCTTGACCTCGTGATCCACCCACCTCGGCCTCCCAAAGTGCTGGGATTACAGGCTTGAGCCACCGCGCCCGGCCCACTCTGGGGCTAATTTTTAAATTTGGTACCAATCTTCCTGTGGTGTCTTTTTGTAGCCCCTGGGTTCTTTGATGGCATAAGAGTCTAGATCCAGAGCCTCCACCCATCTCTGATTCTCTGTGGTGATTTCTGTGTGCAGTTCTCTTTCTAGACAATTGTGACAAAATTATATAATGGGTTTTTTAATGCATCTAATTTTTAACCTCATAACAGAATAAAATACATGATGTAGGAGTGCAACTGTAGGAGTGCCACAGCAAGGCTCTGTCTCCTCCATCTCTAAACCAGCAAATGAAATTCATTCACTTATCCTCATTTCCAAGGCCTCTACCGTCACTTACCTCCATCCTACAGCAGATTCCTAAACAGTGTCTTGTCTCTGCTTTAACGTCCCAGTCCACTCTGGCACTTCTTCCTTAGCATGACAGCTCTTCAGTGCTGCACCCAACCTTGGGTTGACCCCGTCATACACTAGGTAAAGGCCCATGAGAAAGAGTCAGTGGTGGGTGCAGACTCCCTCAGGATGTGAATTCATCAAGCCTGTTGACTCACGGTGACTTAAGTTGCCTTCAAAATTGGTGTTTTTTTAAAGGCAGAGTTCTTTCTTCTTCTCACTGTTCCTTGAGGGATAAAAGCAGCTATGGGTCTTTTCCTAGAAAGGGCTTGTCTGGTTCTATATTTTTATTCAGTTAGGCTTTATTTTGTTCTCTGCTATCTTATGGTTTTGAAACGCTTTGATTAGGAACTTAGTTTGTTCTTGGCATTAGAGTGTGAATAATGGTCTCATGACTTCATTTATCCCAACCAGAAGCATGCTTTTTATAGGGTTAAGAGTTAAACTACCACTTTTACCAACAAAGAACATCCAGCAGCCTAGAACCTTCCCTTGGACCCACAAACAGGTGATTTGCCCTCTGTCAAAAGTAATCACTCTTTTTTATGCCTGTCACTGTAGATTAGCACCCCCTGTTTTTTACTTTTATGTAAATGGATATCATACAGTGGGCACTCTGTGCCTCTGGCTTCTGTTACTCAACATTATACCTATGAGATTTGTCTGTAGAAGTAGTTCATTTTTGTCATTGCTGGATAGTATTCTGTTGTAAGAATTAACTGCATTTTATGTATTCATCCTACTACCCTTGGGCACTTGAGGTTTTCCAATTGTGTTATTATGAATAAAACTGTTACGAACATTTGCGTGCATATGTTCTTGTGCGTTTTGCCTGGTATGTGCACAGGAGTTGAATTTCTGATCCAGGGAGTGTGCATATGGGCAGCTCGACTACAGTCCTGTACATTTTCCAAAGTGATGGTACAATTGACATCTCCCCTCTGCACCGTGACGCATGAAAGTTCATTTCCTCCACATCTCATCCTCACTTAGCACTTGGATTTTTTTCATTCTTTTAAAATTTTGGCCACATTGATGGTGTATGTCTCAATTTAATTGGGATATTCCTGTCTACATATTTACCCTTTTAATATTTTATTTCATGAAGTTTCTGTACAGCCTGTTTGTCTACTTTTCTGTTGGGTTGTCTGTCTTTTTCGTACTGACTTGTAGGAGGTAATTATATATTTTAAATATGTGTTCCTTGTCAGATAAATACATTGTAAATATCTTCTCTCATTCTGTTGCTTTTTTATTCTCTTAATGGTGTCTTTAGGTGAATAGAAGTTTTTTTTTTTTATTTTTTATGTTGTTCAGTTTATCAGGTTTTTCCCATTATGATTAGTGCTCTTGTTTCTATCTAAACACTTTATGTAGGGCATGGTGATTCACACCTTTAATCCTTAGCATTTTGGGAGGTTAAAGTGGGAGGATCATTTAAGCCTAGGAGTTCAAGACCAGCCTGGGCAACAAAGTAAGACCACATCTCTAGAAAAAAAATAAAAATATTTTTTTTAATTAGCCAGGCATGGTAGCGGATACCTGTAGGCCCAGCTAGTTGGGAGGCTGAGGTAGGAGGATTGCTTGAGCCAGGGAGGTTGAGGCTGCAGTGAGCTGTGATTTTGCCACTGTGAGCCTGAGCCACAGAGAGAGACCCTGACTCAGAAAAATAATAATAATGATAAAATAAAACTTCTACCCCAAGGTAATGAATTGCCCCAACTGTGTATATTATCTTCTTGAAGCTATATTGTTTTGCCCATCATATTAAGTCCATAATTTATCCCTAATTGATTTTTCCTTTGGTTAAGACATGGGTCAGGACTTCTTCATATTCTTTATGAATATCCAGCACCCTTTAGTAAAAAGATGACATTACCACTGCATTGCAGTACTGCATTGCCGTAAAGCAGGTGATGTATATGTGCAGCTTTGTGGGTTAGTTTCCTGCAGTTCTATGCAGTACTACCTGTTCTGTCTGTTCTTGAGTCAATCTCATGTTGTTTTAATTACTGTAGCTTTCTAGTGTCGTGCTGATAGGGT